AAATGTGGCCAGAAGGTACAACGCTAACTTTTAAACGGTGCGGAAAATCCTTGCTAGGGAAGGATACAAGTCGTACAAAGCCAGTAAACATGAAACAGAATTCCGTGCTCAAAAATCGTGCAAGGCTCTTGTACGACCGTTTTTTGACGAAACACACGGGCTGCACTTTGATTGATCACGAAACATACGTTAAACTCGATTTTAAGCAGCTTCCCGGTTAAAAGTTTAACATATATATACTGATTTACCCGAGGGGGGCGAGACATCTAAATCTCAATTGTAGATGCTCAAAAAATCTCACACTAGCGAATAAATCTTCGAAAAATCTTCTTTCATTTCTCGCATCTACTTGCATCGCGCATCATCTTTTTGCAGGAAATCTTCAAAATCGTGATAAATCTTCTTTCTATCTACTCAGCGTACGCGCAGCTAGCCACAGCAAAACACAATATTTCCTGCATCGTAGATAGAGTCGTCCCCCTCGGATTTACCGGTATTTGTACCGATTTTGTAATTTGATACCGATATTGCTCTTCCAGAGATCTATTTTTAGTATTCAGCTCTTTTTCATACTGGCGGTAGAACTTTGAAAGCTACGGTAGCAACCGGACAGAAAATTCTCTTAAGATCCGCAATATACGTACACGCCCAATGAGATCTCGACCCAAATTTGAGTTCAGTTTGAGTTACTTTTAGCGATTTAAAAGAGCAGAAACTAAAGTTTCTTGAACTTTTCCAGAAAAAAATTCCCAAGTATGAGAAAAGTAAAGATTGAATTCACTCAGTTAGTTGATACTACTCCTAGACTGAGTCAAATTTTCGTCAATTTTCCTCATTTTCCGGCAGATTTTTTAGGTTTTCCACAGGAATACATGAAGTAAATTTACTCATCGCTAAGTTCCTGCATTTTTTGCGATTTATGAGAAAACTGAACTCAAATTTAGGTCGATCTCATTTGCCGTGCATAAGGTTCCTCAGAATACCGTTTTTGAGAATTTAATACTGATTTATACCGATTGTTTAAAATACAGTGCTTTCCCGATTTTGTCAGCTCCCGATTGTGTCTACCCCCGATGTTGTCAGCTTTTTTCCCGATTTTGTCAGCCTGAAGATTTTGCTGAACTTTTTGGTTTTAAGCATGAATTCTCAAGCATTTAGCTCCAAATGACACTTAATTGTTTTGTCGCAACAATAACAGAGGTAACTCAAATAAACCTCAATCAATGCGACACTGCACAGCTGTATCGAGTCTCTCTCGATAAAGGTAAGTAGGTGGTGGATAGAGCTGGGATGGCTGCAATACAAGTTATGGGCAGATACCCCATTCAAGAAGAAGGTTTCGTGATCGCCAAAATTAACGGGATATTCATATGCAGTTGCTACGCATCCGATAGACGATGGAGCAGTTCCACGAGACGCTGGTTGGACTTACCGAAGAGCTGGTCGGACGAAGACCGGTAGTCATCAGAGGAGACTTCAAGGCTTAGGCAGTGGAGTGGGGAAACAGATGTACCAACGCAAGAAGGCACATTTTGCTGGAAGTTCCGGTGAAGATGGAAATTAGGCTGTTCAATAAAAGTACCACCAGCACTTTTCGCAGAGATGGCCGGGAATCCATTATCGACGTCACTTTATGCGGACTGCAGTCCGTCGCTGGTGGATTACATGAATTGGAGAGTATGTCAATGATATACCCATAGTGATCATCAGGCAATCCGATATGGCATCGGCCAACGGAATCCTGTGGCAGTACAGAGAACGAGAACTTGCGACCTGAAGTGGAAGACGAGTTTAAAGAATCGTTATGGAGAGCATGTGACACGACCATGCCGAGGAAACTGAAGCTAAATAACAGACGGCCTCCAGATTACGGCTGCAACGAGGCAATTAGCACCCTCCGCGCTAGTTGACGCGAAGGGGAATTATTGACAAAAATATTGATGATGTGAATACGGAAATATTGTCAATACCGATGTATTGACGTCAATATTGAATTTATTGACAATACGATTATTTTCAATAAAAGCAATCGTGTAGGGTTCACTTCAGAGCCAGAAGACGTGTTCAGAGAGCAAGAACAGAAGCAGACGGAGAGGAATGAAGAGGAATGTTCCGAGCACATAAACAAGAGATAATGCAGAGCAAGCCAAACTGTCAACTGGAGCTGGGTCGAGACGCTGCTGCCAACGACGCACACCGTGCCCGCTGAAATATGTTTAGAGAACCTGGAACTCATCGTGGAAGGACTTTTCTCGAAGCACGATCCAATGATCTGGCCGCCTACATCGTACGGAGACGCAGAGAGAGATAACGACGAAGTCACCAACGAGCAACTCATAGCAGTTCCTGCTGGATACACTCGGAAAACTCTTGGAGAGGATCATCCTAAACAGGCTGACAAAATGCACGGAGAGTGAGCAATTTGTGAGATTTCGAAAAGGAAGAGCAAAAGTGGATGCAATTCGGACAGTTGCCGAGAGAGCCGAGAAGGCGTCGAAACAGAAGTGGAGATTAGATCGATATTACGCCGTGATAACGATCGACGTCTAGAATACGTTCAACAGCTCCAGCTGGGAGGCCGACGCTACTTCCAGAACCGGGTTCTGATCTACGAGCCAAATATGGTACAGAGATCGATTAGGATCACGGTGGGAATTCCACAAGGCTCCATCCTTGGTCCAACGCTCTAGAACGTGATTTAAAACGGCGGTCTAACGCTGAAGCTACCCAAACGAGCTGAGATCGTTGGCTTTGCGGACGACGTCGTCTTACGGTAACAGGCAAGACACTGGAATAGATGGAAATGTTGGGACCGATTGGAAACCTAATGCATGGATCGAAGCCGTAGATATCCCACAACAAAAGCGAGGTGGTATTGATCAGTCACTTTAGCGGCGCCGGTGGTGTAGTGGTAAGCGTCGCTGGGATGTTCTGAGGCATAACATCTCTGATCACGCCTTCTTTCGGAAGCGATGTAAAGTCGATGGTCCCCGGTTCATGAGTTGATGGGTCGATAGGTAGGGTCCAGATTGTGGGAGCTGCCTCCCTGGCGTCGGTAGCATTGATGCTCAGCACGGAAAACAAGATCGACGGAAAACAAATCAAGGAAAAACAAACAGTAACAGCGCTGCAGCGGTCAGAAGTTACCGTTGGGGAGCACGCAATAAACTAGAAGTGCGTGTTGAAATGCCTGGCAGTGATGGTCGACGACCGTTTGGCTTCAATAGCCACGTAGAATACGCCTACGAGAGGGCAGCGAAGGCCATCAACGCGGTAGCCAGACCATCAACTTGGTTGCAGCGCTGAAAACCAAGCGGAATTTAAGGAAACCAAACAGTACGTACCGGCTCAACAAAACGTACGCAAACTTTTCCAGACATATGGTGTACCGTACCCTTTGTTGTAAGAATAGTAAACATTTATCAGTAATTACATTAATAGTGGATAAATAATGGTTAAACTTGATTTCAAAATCATGTTGATGGTTAAAATATTGAAAAAGAAAATTTCCTGATTTTGTCAGCCTAAAATTTCAGATGGGGCTGACAGAAACGGGAAAGTACTGTAATCATAATAATTATTGCCTGCTCGCGCTAAAATGTCAACGAAAACTATACTGCCCATAGTTGCATATCAGTCCCATCGTTGCTTGATTTCCTATCCATATGGGACTGTTATGCGATATACTTTAAATTTTTTTGCTCAAAAAATATTCTTATGCTTATACTCTACTAGTGCTTCCATTTACTCGCCGTTTATAGCTGCCCATGAATCGAGAAACCGCTGATGGCATATCCCGGTAATTCCTGCGAATCGGGAAATACGCTTATCTTGTATGTGACCAAATAGGTCTATGATGAAAATTTTGCAAGATCTCAAAAGGCCGAATTTAAGAAAAATGTGAAACATTGCTCATGGCAAAAAATACGCTATGTTTTATACAGATCGGGGAAGGTCGATTCAAAAATTCATTTCTATTTTCTTATAACAAATGAATTTATTATAAGAATTCCAAGAGAATTATGATGAGACTTCAACAAGATACAAGATTCAGACAATTTCGAAAGATTTTATACCAGAGCTTAAAAAAATGAGAAAAATTTCAAAGGAATTAAATTTTCAGGAGGTTTCCAATCAAATTCTTAGAAGGGGAATCAAGTAAATTCAAAAGAAAATTTTATGTTTCTGGTTTCTAACCAACACAATATAAAAAAGTATGCATTGGTTGCCATAGAAAAGCTGTCAGTTTATAACTGTGGAAGGTCTGTGGAAGTTGAGAGCAGTCGAAAGCACCTTTAAGAGCGTCAAATACAGCTAGACGAAGTTGTTTTGGCAATTTTGAAGTCACTTGAAATCAGATCAAATTTCTGTTCACTGCTCTGAATTCTGTCTTGGGTCCCCACCGCCAATACCCCCTGGGTCTGTTTCTGCTGCGATGTCCTGCCGCCGGATTCCAATCCAGTACTTGCATGCATATTCCGTTTCCACTCTTTTGAAGTATGTGACTGCTTGGGAACTGCACAGCTTTCATACTGGGATATAAAATTCGAATTTTGGTTAATTGATTAAACTCATAGTGTGTATAAGCAGTTCAAGTCTTCATGATTAGTGGACCTATATTGATCTTGAGATCGCCTTTTGACGCTGTCTGACTACCAATAATATTGGAAACTTTTGAGTTTCTCCTCTGCTTGCGCAATTGAAGATGAAGATGTAGGGTTGTCCGTGTTGGGATTCAACGAACCAAGTAAGGCGGAGATAAATAGACCTAGATGTAGTCAATTTTATTTTAAAGTGGAAAGTGTCTACTCTTCATAATAGATTTGAATTTCAATTTGCGATAGATATGCAAATTGGTATTCACCTTTACTACATAATCCCATACTGGCCACGAGATTAGTGTTAAACCAAAACAGGCTTTGTAGTATTGTGCAAAGCCAAACGTCGCTTACACCCAAATCTTCAAATTAAGATATTTGTTATTCTTGCCAGTCAATTAAATCCGAACTCAAATGAATCATAATGACAAAATGAAACCGTAAATAAAAAGACAAACTCAATCAAATATTGTACAATTCGCTTTACTCTTTCCTCATTGTTCATTTCACAGTATAGTGCACAATAAATCAAGACAACCGATAAACTGATGCCAACTAAGATAATAATTAACTAATTCAGAATAAATTCGTCTTCGAATTACATTGAATGTACTCTTAACAGTGAAATTATAATTACCATGCACTGAATATAAACAATTATAGTGAATTAACTGACAAATAAACTTCTTAAATCATATACAAATACACGAGAATAAGATAAATCATATTAACACATCGATACATACACAAAGATTGATTAAGCATATAAATACGTACTGATAACTATAATCGAAATCAAAGGACTAGAATCGAATTCGTTGCAGCAACGACACCTGTAGATGTCGTGCTTTTGACTTAGATTGACTCAGATGTGGAGGATTGTTTCAATTGGGCGACGAACAGACTGTTATTTATTTATTTTTTATTCAACAAAAATACAATAGAAAACCCAAACAAGTAAAAAACTGACTCATGGCTTAACAAGTTAAAATCATAGTAATTGTTGGTACAGCTGTTATACGCAAAGAAATCCTCCAAATAACAAATTAAAGCATTACAGAACCGATCCCGTAAAGAAAACTCATCGAACTAAACAAAATAGTTTTCGAAAAATTCAACCAAAAAAATTAATCACGCTAGAGGTAACAAACTCAAAAATTAAAAATTAAACAGCACTATCCTCAAAACTCCTCCCTTTCGTGCTCTCCTGCCTCAACTTGCTTATACTGTTTGTATAAAAAATTTCCTACCTTTCATGCATACCGGTCACATGTGACTAAATTTGTCTATCAAAAAGAAAAGATTTCTCTCTATCAAAACTCGTTTTGACTCTGTAAACGGTTGAAAAATGGAGCCTCTTGTGGTGGTGGGGAAAAAACTCTCCCCCTCTGATTCGCACACAAAAATCTTGGAATTGAATTACCCTTGATCACCGATCAAGATCGACCGCACATTCGTTGGCCATTAGTTTGTCACAATCTTGGATCTACTACCTACATGTGTATATTTTGGAGGATTCTTTTTCACCATCTCTCTCTATCTCTCTTTGGATTATTTTTTGTTTATCTTTGGAAGAAGATACTTTTCTGCCCGTGTCGAGGTCGAAATACTGACATTTTGCTTTCTACGTGTTCTTAAACTTAGGGTTCGTTGAAATTAAAATCACCACTTTCCGTGTGAATCGTCGTAACAAAACTAAAAATCGTATCTAATCGGCTAGTTCACCTGTCAATCCATACGGTGAGCTGACGATCATACGTTTCCGGTCTACTGGGGAGCAGCAGCAGCAGCAGCAGCATCAGCACCTTACGAGTTCTTCGACTTGTTAGTCTTGAAACTAACCTGAAGGACCCGATTGCCGAGCGTGTATCCGTTGAGCGACTGGATCGCTACGACTGCTTCGTCGTAGTTGGTCATCGTGACAAAGCCGAAGCCTTTGCACTTGTTCGTCTGAAGGTCCTTGATGACCTACAAAACAGAAGAACAATTACCGCAACTGATGACTACTGTGTAGGATCCGATTGCCAACTTACCTTAACGGACTGCACCGCACCGAATGGGCCGAACAGCTGCCACAGCACATTCTCCTCCGTCTCCGGTGCCAGATTGTACACGAAGATGCACCACCCGGACCCGTTGGCAATGGCATTGGTCGGAATCATCGAATTGGCCAGAAGATCCCCTGCTAGCGGCGAATATCTGTAATTCGGAATAGCACTACACCCCACGTGAAAAACATTAGATCGTTCACTACAGCGACATGCATCGAGCTGCATTCAAAAAGCAGGACCATCGATTTGACAGATTACCTGAATCGTCCCGTCGGATGGTGCATCGGACCGGGGAAGCGCCGGGCTGCCTGTGGTCCCAGATAGGCCGCTAGTGGTGGAACGGTTTTCGTGTTGCTCGGATTGTTGGCGAACTTGACCGTGATCGGTTCGGTGGATCCCTTCGGTATCGTGCCGTTCAGCTCTTTGATGGCCTTTTCGGCTTCGATGCGCTGGTCGAAGCGGATGAAGCCGACGCCCTTGGAAAGACCTGTGGGGGAGAAGAAGTGTGAAGGATGTCGTTGGTTAGTTTCAGTTGGTTGGTTGAACTACGTGGACTCCGTCGGATGACCACCTTCCCATGGAGGCGCATGGTTGTTTATGGTATACTACTGGAACGTTTCTCAATACGTCGTTAGGGAGCATACTTATTACCAAGCCAGATACGATGGGTTTGGGTCCCGGTTATGTCCAGAAAACAGTGCTGTTTAGACCTGTGCGCCGCCAACGGAACTTTTTCACACGTCGTCACCACCGACACCGGCACGCCACTGTTAAGATTTTTGATACGCCGCCGGTATAATTTTGATACGCCGACATTTTTAAATTTTGGAAGACACGTTTGTCGCGAACCACTGTCCAAAATTATAGCCAAAAAAGATCAAATTATTGGTATCATTACCATAGACCGGGATTCGGCAATCTATAAACTGGTTCAGGAGAATCGGTCAGAACATTTTTAGGTGAGTATATATCCAGAGACTAGAAGCGACATAAGAAATCACATGAGAATTTGAACGCAAGACTAATGGAAGTCAAAATGAGTTACCAGGCATACATTGTTCACATTCGGACATGTTGCTGGTACTAAAGCCCATCATGCGAAACTTAGTCACATAATACATCAAAATCAAAAATCAAAATCAATATCTCTCATTGGTGATACAATGGCCATAATCGTAAATGTTCCGGGAACCCTATGGGTAGTGCCAGATAATGAAATTTGCTTAAATCTACCATGTGATGAAATGTTTGAACTTTTTGCTACTAAGTTTTTTGTTTGAGCATTTTTTTACTGAACATGATTAAGAGTGTCTCAAACATTGTTTACTGAGTATAAATTACATAAAAAACGTTAACAACCATAGCTGGAAAGCACCTCAGAGCGTCAGATAATCAATGTTGTGCATGCATTTCTCAACACTCGACAAAGAGTGTGTGGTTCTCCCATTTACTTCGCACACTCTTTTCCAACTAATCTGTGAGAATGCGATCCACACAATGAGCGGTACACTCGGTGCGGTGCAGAGACTAAAGAGACAACAAGCGCTAATGTCTTCTTTAAATTCTTTGCAGACTTTACATACCATGACTGCATGCTCAGCAGATGAAGAAGAGCATAACGAAGAAGAATTTTGTCTTTCTGCTGGGTTTCCCATTTGCAACCCTACACTGAGTGGCGCTCTTTGCGTCGGAGGCGTCAAGTTGGTGGCTACACATTGAGCTTTCGTTATTTCTGGATGTGTGTCTGTCTTCTCTACTCCGCTGCTTTACACTTGCGCAGGGTGAAAGACAAGCAAACTTTGTGTTTGCTAAATTCTCACTTTGTTTATTTAGCTACAATTTTTGAATCAGCATTGAATTAAAGACTTTCGGCCAAGAGTTAACAAATTTGACCAAAAGTTCTTTTTCTATGATTTTTTTAAATTTTCAAGTATCCGTTATTTTGAGCTTCAATTTATGTTGATGCATTTTTCGAAAAATTCAAATGCTGTTTTTTTCGACGCATCAATTCAGATTGCAAAAAGCCCGCATCATTTTGTGTTAAATATCAAAAAGAATAGAATGAAGAAAATAAGCATAGGAGTACTGAGCGAAAACCCAAAACACAAAAACTTCAAAAAATATAACTAAAAAACGAAAAAAAGCACATCGCTGTTTTATATGTTAAGTAAAAAGACCTTAATTTTCAAGGAAAAATATAAAACATATATATTGCACTCTGGTGAAATTCTGAGAACCACTTAATCGTTTTGCTATGGAATGGCTGTATAAATTTTTTTATCATGATTTTTATCATTCAGCCCAGTAAAAACAAAAATTGGCCATTGTGAATGTAACAAAGTGACAAATTATGCAATAGGGGAAATGGATGTAATGTCGGCCTAAATGCTCCTAATTTGGGCTCATATATATTCAGCAATCGACTAAATTTTCAATAGCGACCAAAATATCCATTAGAACCGTCCCATCTAGATAAAATTGATGAATAGCAGATTTTTAGCGATGGGCCCAATCTTAGATCCATAGGCCAACATTAGAGCCAATTTCCCTATGTAGAATATCATTTACTAGTGGTTATAGAACTTTGAAAATGATTATTTTTTATTTTATCTAGTGATTTTTTTTTCGGCGGATTATTGTTAGCGCAGGTTGCAAAATTTCCTTTTTGACTAAGCACTTATTATGAATCACGTTTCACCAACACAAATGTGCGCAAAACTTTGTTTTTTTTTAGTTTTCTGCCTAAAATAAGTACATCCACCAAATTTGGTTCAAATCGGTCAGGGTCAATGCAATTGTTCGGTCACTTGAGATGGAATCCATCACTGAGATTACCTGATTTTCCAGGACGACGGCAAGACGCCAAACAGTGAAAACGGAGGAGCGAACGTGTTCGCAAGAAGCAGGATGTTGCAGAGATCACCACTGTTCAACCTGGTGGCCAGTGGCCACAGCGAGGTCCAGCAGCAGTAGTAAGTTTCAATGAGAGCTAGGTCTTGTGCCAAGCCAGATGTTCACACTGAAATCCAGCTGTAGTACACCCCAAGAAGGACTGCAGCTTGAGAAGACTAAAACGATGGAGGAGGATCTATGAACTCCATGTCTTCGTCAAGGATAAGAGCAACGTCCACAAGGCAATAAAGGAAATGGTGACGTGTATCAAATCCGCCATTATTGCTGCCAAAGGTGAACAGGATGCGCTGAGATAAGCACCGAGACTGCCGAAAGGACACTGATCGAGGCCAAGGAGAAAGCAACAGCTGAAGCACAGGAAACGCCGATGAGACCCTGAACCAGGCTTGGGAATTGTCAACCTCATGACGATAAACTATGTAACAAGGACAACAACAAAAAGTCAACGCTCATCTGACAAGCACGATGCAACAAACTTCTGCTTGAAAGGCTGCTCTTCTGGGCTGTCTCTCGACGCAACATTTTCTATTCTTGTCTTCCTCTCATTTGGTCACGAAACATCTGTTGCGTGACGTTTTCCAGAACGAATTAGTAGTTTCACGTACGTCGGACGACAAGATTGACGGAAACTTTTGATATGGTTATTGACGAAAAAAGTCTGTCATGTCATTCTTCCATTCTGTCGCGATAAAACTGCCCCTGGTCGTTTTCTAGTAAATTCATGTCGCTTTGCATACGAGACATAACAAGATTGAAATAAACTGGAATTGTGTGACGGGATTTCGCCTCTGACTCGAAGTAGCTTGAATCTTGACGCTGAACTTCGTGTTTACAAGTATCTAAGTGATTTCTAGTGATGGATATTTTTGGAACGGACACGACTGGAAGCTGCCGAAAATGATTCCCATTTTGGAATCCAAGATGATGACCAAATTTTGAAATTTTCGCTCCACAGTGCTTAAACGGTTCCAAATCGGGTCCTGCTTAGCCTCCCAAAATTTGAACTTCTTTAGTAAGAAACTGACTTGGCACAAACCATTTCAAGTTTATATGGGAATTACTATGGGAAAACTAATGTTTTTGTTCATATCTATCTAAAAATTCACCACATCACGATGCTTTTAAAAATGATAACAGTAATTTTAGATCAGCTACAACTTTGTTGAAAACCAGTTTTCAATCAAATGTAAGGAACAAAAGTTATTAATGATTCAAGTCACTGATGTCTTATGATTATGCTCATTCAACTGTTCAGCAGGCAACATTGGTGTTTCTGGTGCGAAGAATAGAGCACAAATATCATGGCTACTATGTCACACTGCAGAATACAGTGTTGCCCACAATACAGTTGCTTAATCTTTATTAACTATTTAATTTGACGTTTGGCTGAAAAACGATGTTGCGCAAAGTTGTAGCTTAGAAAATTTCCCGTGAGAATAATTAAAGAAATTTTCGAAAAAGCAATATGGAAAATGGGTAGAAGACAATGAACAAAAAGTTTGGTTTTCCCATAGTAATTTCCATATAAACTTCGAATAATTTGTGCCAAGTCAGTTTCTTACCAAATGAGTTTAAATTTTGGGAGAATAATCAGGACCTGATTTGAAACTGTTTGAGCACTATGGAGCGAAAATTTCAAATTTTGCATCAGTCTAATGGCCATTGACTTTCAAATACCAAATAGCTTCCGCCATTTACAAAATGTCGTCGGACATCGATTTTCGGTATCTAGACGTCATCCCGATTCCGAAGATATTCATATTGAAGGGTATTTAGCAGTATTTCCCACTTATTCTGAAATCAGCAGCCGCCATCTTTGGTTTCAAGATGGTGCTGGACATCGATTATCGGTCTCTAGACGTCATCCCGATTCCGAAAATATCCATATTCAAGGGTATTTGGCAGTACTTTCCACTTTTTTTTTTTTCTGAAAACGGAAGCCGCCATCTTGGATTTCAAGATGGCGCTGGACGTCGATTTTTGGTCTCTAGACGTCATCCCGATTCCGAAAATATACATATTGAAGGGTATTTGGTAGTTTTTTTTTCAATTTTTCTGAAACCGGAAGCCACCATCTTGGATCAGAAAATGGCGTCGGAAATCGATTTGCGGGTTTAAGACGTCATCCAAATTCCGGAAATACCCATATTGAAGGGTATTTGGCCGTATTTCCCACTTTTTCTGAATTTGGAAACCGCCATCTTGGATTTCAATTTTTGGTTTCTAGAGATCATCCCGATTCTGAAAATATACATATTGAAGGGTATTTGGTAGTATTTCCCACTTTTTTTCTGAAATTGGAAGCCGCCATCTTTGATTTCAAGATGGCGATGGGCAACATTTTCAGTATCACGACGTCATACCGATTCCGAAAATATCCATATTCAAGGGTATTTGGCAGAAGTTCACACTTTTTCTGAAAACGGAAGCCACCATCTAGGATTTCAAGATGGCGCTGGACATCGATTTTCGGTCTCCAGACGTCATCCCGATTCCGAAAATATACATATTGAAGGGTATTTGGTAGTATTTCCCACTTTGTCTGAAATCGAAAGCCGCCATCTTGGATTTCAAAGTGGCGTCGGGAATTGATTTACGGATTTTAGACGTCATTTGGATTCCGGAAATACGGACATCGATTGCCATCCATTGACGGCAATCGAATGTGCAGGAAGGCAGCTTCCACACCTGCGTAGGATATCGCACCCATTCAACACACATGGGCCGGGACCAACGGCTTTACTTCCCTTCCGAAGCAAGACGTGACCAGAGATTTTTATGCCTCAGAAAAATCCCACCGACCTCGGCTGGGATTGAACCCAGACCCATCGGGGTGTTCGAAAGCAGTCACGCTTACCACTACACCACCAGCGCCGGGAAAGCAAATCTTAGCAACAATGAATCGAGGGATGGTTTGCTTTATCTTTCCTTCTTCCGTTGTCCGCGAAATAAATCGGAATGTGGGGTGTGGAAAGCGTTTTGTGCTAATAATATTACAATACTTCTCCCTCAAACAACACCATGATGACGTCATGCTCGTTTGTCTACACTAACTGACAGTTCGTTTGGCTACATTATACTTTGCCTCCGCTTATCTATGGAATCTATAGTATCTATAGCCGCAACTGGATGGATTCTTGATTTTGTCGTGCGACAAGAAATTGTTGTTTGTCGAGAATTTTCCAGGATGACCATTTTTTTAATGTATCCTGTCGTGCGTTAATGACACACGTGGCAATTCTCATATCTGCTCAGGAGGCCTCTTGTATTAAACTTCGAGTCATCTTGAAGAAACCAGGAAGTAGCGGTAATGTTCCGAAAGCCCTTCCACCGGGTTTCAAACCATTTGATGTTGATAGGGACTTTCCGCGGCTTCCAGCTCCGGATATTCCAGTTCCACAGCCAGGACAACATGCAGCCATGTTCACGTTTTCTGAAATTGTAGATGGTATTCTCGAAATAACGTTTGCAATTAAAAAAAATGGACAATATTGTCGATTTTTCATGGGTTTACCTTCACCCGCACTGACGAAACTACCCATGCAGCATCAATCATAGTAATCCATGAGTCAGCAGACAAAATTTGACAGCTCTATCAGTCGAACTCTAACCGTGATGGCGTCCACTGGTTTCGGAGCTCGTTTTTCCCGGCGAATCGCGACGTGGCGGTGGTGATGGACGTCGAGACCTATCTCACCCTGGATGGCAACGACTGACAGGGCACTTCGTATTTCACTTCCCCCAGGGAAGGAAGTGAGCTCCGAGGTGAAGTTCATTTCACACACCAAGTACCCCAAGAAGGTGCTGCTGTGGCTGACATTAAGCGAGAAGGGGATGTCAAAGCCACTCTTCTTTCGCTCCGGACTGGCCGTAAACGGGGAAATTTATAGTACGAAATACCTGCCGGAAGTTACGTCGTTCATCAAGAAATACCATAAGGGCTAAGACGCGGTGTTCTGGCCGGATCTGGCGTCGGCCAACTACTCGAAGCGATCGTTGGAGGAGATGGAGCGACTGAATATCGATGTGGTACCCAAGTCGTCGAACCCGCCCAACGTCCCCCAGCTGCGTCTCATCGAGAATTTCTGGGCCAACCTGAAGCGTAAGATCTACTCCAACAATTTGTCGCGAAAACTGAGGAGGAATTGATAAATAAAACGAAGAAAGAACTCAAAAACATGACTACACACATGTTTTCGTCCGCCATGGCGAATTTTCCGGTTAACTGCCGGAAGGCCGCTCGCAAGGGCGTAGAATTTTTTTGCAAGTAAGCTTAAATAATTACCTTCCATGGGAAATTTATCAAAAGAAATTATCTGTCTTAGCTTTTTTTATTACCACCAATGTTGAATATTCTTTTGAAGATAGCTTCTAAATGGCCAATGCTTTCGTCGATCATCAATTTTGACGTTTAAAATTACTAGCGTTTGAGAATGTGATAGTGATTTGTCTGTTCGTGTATCAATTTTAGTTTCTGTTCTCTCATCGTTGTTCCTTCCCAAGCTCCTGTTTTTATATTTCGTTGCAACCACCAGCCATCTCGAGAGAGGTCAAGAGCACTTTCCCGTCACCTCACCAAACAGTCAGTAAACGGCGGTGGAGATAAATATATCAATCGCATCCTTGTGTACCTTTTCCTTGATCCCTTCTCTACCTTTTAATAGATTGTAGCCCGTAACCTCGAGTAAGCTGTGAGTACTAACTCTATTTTTAAGAAACATTGTAAAAAAGTAACATTAATTTCGGCTCCGTAAAGCTTTCGCATTTGAGCCTTGATAATTAAATGAATTTACAAGAAAAAAAACAAGCAAATCATGTAATCAAAACATCATTTGATTCATTATTCCGAATGAATGAATCTTTTATGTGAAATGAGTATTTGCAACCTTGGCAATACGCAAATAGATTTGAGTAAATAGCATTTTGGAATACCCTTTTATGGTATACGATTGGTAGCCAATTGAATGTTTAACCGTATGTTAGTGCAGTGTACCAATCATTGAATACATGTTGATGGACACCATTGACCGATTTGAATCCTAAAAAAATCAAACAACATTTGAATGCGACCGCGTCCTCAAATATTCGAACAATGGAGGTAGAAAAAAAGGCCTACACCACAGATACCACTATTCTACACCAAATTCCATCATAACACCGGCAAACAAATATTGATGCCCTGCTGGGTTGATTATAAATTCCACCGCGTGAAATTGATTTGAATTATGCAAATATTTAAAGAACGTCACTGCGGGGGCGAGAGACGATTTGTTGCGTTTGAGATTAATTGAAATTTCAGCTCGTTCAATTTAAAGAGCGTGCGAAAATATGAGGTCTCAGATAGCCTAGTCAGCTATCACCAAGCCGGAGGTGGCGGGTTCGATTCCCGGTCCGGTCTAGCAAATCCTTCGGATTAAAAATTTTTCTCGACATCCCATTCATGCATTCGGTTGGCATAGATAGCTCTCAGTTAATATCTGTCAAAGTGCTTCAGTTGAGAGCGGGCAAAATGCTCGTGTAAGAAGCGTCAAAAAACCAGGAAGAAGAAGCGAAAAACAAACATAACGCCTATACCTACCAGGTGAAGTTTCTCCAGAAGGTGAAGAATATTGACGTGCTACAAATTGAAATCAAAAAGAAAAGAAAAAAAACAAAAAGAAGAAATTAACTAAATTGAAGAAATCAAACACATCCAATTAAAACTCAAATGACGAGCAAAATAAACGAACCAAAAAAAAGAGTAAATTGAACGAAGAAAGGAAGAAAACTGCCCACCCACAGGAGGAAGATGTTCACTCACCTGTAATATTGTCACACAGTATGCGGGAGGTGATGATACGTCCGTACGAACTGAAGAGTGACTCCAGATCGGCCTGCAGCATATTCTTCGGCAGCCCGGAAACGTACAGGTTCGCTCCCTTTATTGCTTCGGAACTTGGTCGTGCAAATGATACCTAAAATGAACGAATTATCAATTGTTGGGAAGTTCCGACTGGCAATAGATCGCACCTTGATCTGTTTATTTTGCAGCCTTAGGCCGTTGAGTGTATTGATCGCTTTGCTCGCATCTTCCACCTTCTGATAGTTGACGAATCCGTAGCCCAAGCTTTGACCTAAATTGAACCCGAATAAAAACGAAAATCTCCCGTTATCATTGGACTATAATTAGCGCATTTCCTCCAAGCCCGCAGACCCGCACACTCACCCGTAACTTTGTCTCTTATGAGCTTACAGCTCTCCACCTCGCCGATGCTGGAGAAGAGCGAGCGAATCTCCTCCTGGGTCATCTGCTGGGGCAGATAATTGACAATCAAATTGGTCTTGGAATCCTCCTGGCTTCCGCCGTTCTGCTGGTTGTCTGCAGAGATTCCGTTCGTCATCATGACAATCGTCTCCGACTCGCTGCTGTCTGCCGTAATCGTAATGGTGTTTCGTCGCTAGTATGCTATTAAAAGTCCCTCTTTCGCTATCCTTTCGGCACTTGTAAAAAGTGTCCGGGCGTTATATAGTCGGTATGGAAGTACGTGTGTTTTTGTGAGTGTGTATAAGCACTATAGTAAAAAGTAGTCTCGATTTGGCTTATCGCTTCCTTATTCTTGTAGCAGTCGTTATTTTCTTCTATTTCTGGATTTATTGGATTCCTCCGACTGATTTTAGTTCTCCTTTTTTCCTTTGACTTATACAATAGTAATACTGATGATATTCGTTCCGGGTTCTTTCCGCCCTGTGACCTGCAGAAACGGAGGAAAAGGTGACACACACCGCGTTTAGCTATGCTCGGCTTTGGAACGGTCCCGCAGTTGCTCTGTAATTCAAATGAAGGATTTTCTTATCTGAAAGCGGAGATGAAAAAAAACGAACGGAAACAAATTAGACTTGCCCGGGCTGTAAACGATTTGGGTTCAGTGAAGTTGATGAAGAGTTTCGCAGAATGAAAGGATTTAGAAGGATGGCTTTTTTTTCTCTCTTTATTCGATTGAGAATATCCTAATTGCTATGGGATACAGTTAAGAATAATGCATACATATAAATCTTTAAGAGCTTTGGTGAATAAAGTTTAATAGTCGGTTAGTTGAAAGCTGAATAGCTTGGCAAAATCATAGCAAAAAGGATGCTGGAAACGAGTTCGTCAATGAAGATTGATGGCCACGTATCAATGTCAGTCAATCCAGTGGGATGACCTTTTGCCATTTATGGAACGATAATCTAGTCATTCCGGGAAAGCGATTTAAATAGCAGCAGCATCCGTTTTTCTTTTTTTGCGATGATTTTCATCACAGACAAAGGCCAACTGCTGATTTTCTTACAAACCAGGGTTGGGTGACGAAACTTCGCTAGGGGCGAACCACAAACCACGTGGACAGTTTATCAGAGATTTTAGAACCACGCCCCGACAACTTGAGTGGAATTTTATTAAACAAAATGAATGGAGCGTAAACCAACGCCAACTAAACTTCCGGCGTTAAAGTTTAATGGCAGAATGTATGAAAAATGGAAATAAACTAATAACTTTGCTTATCAAACATTCACACACAACTTAATTTTGCCAAAACCAGATACTTAGATTGAAAATACTATGCGGAACAACTTTGTCGAAGACTGCAACTCTATTCGACTTCTGTGCAAAAAGTGATTGGTCTTTTACTTTAGGACAAATACTCGGCGCTTTCCTACAAGATTTGAACCGTACCCAAGTAATCATAGGCACGTTATTTCGCCTTTTTGGCTATGTACAGCTGAACAACGGCTATATCAGTGTTTGCCAAAAAGGCGAAATAACGTGCCTATTAGGATGGGTTATCATGATAATTTTTTCAGCACAATGTTTTTTTGGTTCCATTTGAGGTCCCAAACAACTATGTTAAACTTGGGGACGATTGGTTGTAACCCGGCTTTCCGCATTGCGTTTGAAATTTGTATAGAAATTATTATGGGAAAACCTATTTTTTTGCATCTTTATTACTAGGGACCACAAATCACGCATCTAAATACGTTAAAACATAGCCCAGGAAGTGCCTAACAACTTTGCCAAAGGATGTATTGTTCTAGAATGCCCCTAATAACAGTTATAGCTGTTATTAGCAAAGATCACTGTTTCGAATTAAATGCCAAAAATCCCTTTTTTCTGCCAACACTGTCCAACTGAAACGTAGCCCACTTAAAGTTAGCCCAACAAGCGAAATCTCACTGTACCTGTGTCTGAGACGAAACTGGTGAAGACAGTTTCCGTTTTCTACTATTTTTTTTTTTTTGATGTAGGGGAGAATGGTATACAACGCACCCCCTGGGCAGAACGCACCAGCTGACTTTCATTTGTGTTTTTCATGGCTTTTGCGTAACTTTTTTGTTGTCTTATCAAGCAGCACTTCTAGCATAGCATCTGAACTCAAAATCCTGCATGATAAATCCTAGAATTGGATTAAAACTTCTAGTCTAGTCTAGTCTAGTCTACACATACACAGCCAGTACTTGAAAGAATCCTGGAAAATGATACATCTATCATTTTTCTTGTCATTATTAATGCCTGCTGCACATCAAGGATGTGAAACAAACAATAAAGCGGCCAGGCCTACTGTGTAGCGTTTAGTTAATTTTTGTGGAAGTGAATGTTTACCATGTCTACTTAATAAGTATAGACAGTGGTTAACATTTAATCCACAGGTAATCAAAGAGCGGGGACATACCGTACCAACCGCTCCGTATGCAGGATTTGAAAATAGGCTATATAAATCGTTGGGAGTGACAGAGCTAAGAAAGTTAATGTACACTCCTTGGTTGTCCGATCTCCTGGGATGGAACACAGGTATTTACCCCTTGTGTTCGAGCGAACAGTCCTCCCTCCGTATAAGCGTGGACGGCACCGCCAACCCACTGCCATCCCTCAATCGATCCAGCCGACCTCAGTCGAAGGACAACAGAGAGCGGTGTGCGGACGTAACCTATACGGAGGGAATGCTGTATTCGCCTAGGTTATAGCGCCCTTGCTCGCTACCATTTTCTTCTAGCGGTTGGGACCTGAGCACTAACTCTTGTCCTAGCCCTATATGGCATATGGTTATAGCGCCATTACTCGCTTTCTGAAAAGAGAAGAAGGGAAGGGAAGGAGAGGAAAAGGACTTGGGAAAAGGAAATGCGGAATTCCTTTCCTCATTAGTATTTGTATCGTCAACTTTTATGAAAACTATATAAATCATTTTTCCTTGGTCAGAGGTATTATTACGACATTTGAATAAGATTGTCTTATCATTTGTTATTCAAAATTTAATGTTATAATGATCAACATAGCTTTGGATTATCCAATATAAATCGGTAACACTGTCCTGCAACCGATGATTTTTCTAATCCGAAAACTAAAAGTTACGAAAAAGCACTTAGGCCTTCATTAAGTTCCACTTTCACGCGACGTTCAATGTTTCGCGGTTTGCTCTTTACGCATTGTTCAGGCTATCATAACAAGCTATGACCAACGTGACGATTGCTTAAGCCCTGGTTAAACAAGTAAACAAGTTATTAAAATGAAATCATGTTCCCGAAAGCAGTCAACAATGTATCTTAAACCGGATCAAGCGTGCGCCCTATTTTTCTAAACATTCCGACGCGGTCCGCCCAATATCTATCAATTACGTTTTTCTACAATAGTAGCCTGGGATAAATCCTAATTCGACCGACACGTGTTTGTTGAAACATTATATTCTGCCTAATAACAGTAGTCAGTAGTCATTAGGAAACCTGTTACTATATTACCACATATGTATCCTTCTTTCATGAATTTGTCCACTGACTGGCAGTGGCATTATGGATAAAATCCTCCTGGGACCATCTTTTATATAAATAATTTCAAGAAGCTTAAATCCGGGAGTTAGAAGGTGACAGCTCTATCACAACTCCTAAAGCCCATTTCAAGATCGCAAGCATTCCGAAGCTTTTCCTAGAATTGGATTAAAACTTCCAAGAAAAACTCAAAATAAAATGAAAAAGTGCTTCTTACCCCGGGGGTGCGTTATGTACTGTTCTCCCCTACAACTACTTTTGTGTTTTCTATTTTGCGGGTGGCCCGAATGGCAGTTTAATATTTCAAATAAAAGCTTTATATAGAAATAATATAGCAGCTGGACTTACAATTCAAACAACATCTTCTCATTAACAAATGAATCGGCAAGTGGATATTAAATATTTACACTACAACAATTTTCATTTTAAAATTTATTATAGAGTTCCCCCCCCCCCCCCCCCCATTATAACTACGCTTATGAGATTGAGCAAATATGTTTGAAGAATTCATCCTGAACATACACAAAATGGATAAGATAAGAAACTCCGAAGTTATTTCAGTTTGAGACTTTACTTCTATGTATTGATATGAGTGAGGGGGTGGGGTATATTATTACCCCCCCCCCCTCTCAAAGTACACATATGAGATAGAGCAATTGTTTTTGAATAATTCATAAGAAACTCCGAAAATATTTCAGTTTGGAATCTGACTCTCATTGGTACACCGGCAGTGTTGGCAGAAAAAGGGATTTTTGGTGTTTAATTCAAATCATAAATATTTGAATAGTTATAACTTTTTTTAGATACATTATAGCTTTGAACTTCCTTTGGCACTTGTTAGGCACTTCCTTGGCTATATTTATACATACTTAGTTGCACGGTTCATGCAGAATTGTGGTCCTTCCCATACTAATTTCCATACAAATTTCAAACGCTATGCGGAATGCCGAGTTACAATCAATCGTCCCCAAATTTTGCACAGTTGTTTGGGACCCCAAATGAAATCAAAAAAAGGTTGTTCTCAATTGGTGACGTAAAGTTTGCGTTTTTCCATATAACGATGACCCACTCTACTGCCTATCCCAATTAACATTTTAAGTTTAATGAAATACTACAAAGCAACTATAAAACAACATTCATAAAACCCTGGTCAAGGCTATTTTGTAATTAATGCATCCACCAAAACCTCATTAAGACTAGAATATGTCTACCCGAGCAGGAACGAATATCTCGATACCTTAAATTGGTATGGATGAGCCTTACATAAGAGGTAAAATACCAAAACATAATACAAAAAATATGTTTGCACAATACCATTCCAATGCCAAACTATGATAATGCAATACCAAAACAATGCCACCCAGGTATTCTTTTGGTATCCAAATATCAATTTTTGGTATTCACAAAGTATTTTTCATGTAATTTGTTGGTATTATTCTTTGGTATTTTACCTCTTATGTCATGCTGGTCAATACCAAATTTTGGTATCAGATCAGAATTAGGTATTCATTAGTTATTTTCTCCTGCTCGGGTAGTTGGCCCACCCTGGAGAAGGTTCTGAAGGATGTATTCTCGAAGCTCTTGAAGATTGATTTACTGTAAAAGGTTGTATGACGAACGCATTGAGAACCATTTGAAAGCTACAATAAAAGCTATTTAGCAACAATAAAAACCCTTTCCGAGCCATTTCCCCTAGCCGCATGCTGAATCCACTAGGAAAGCATCAATCAAGATAAAGGGTGTCCACGATGAAATTGCCACACTATGAAATTGCTCTAACTTTTTAACCGTTGGGTAGAATTTAATGAAAATTTGGGTGGATTTAGTTCATAGCGCATTATTTACATCCTGTAAGTTTTAAAGTCCTGTGATCAAAACTCGCGGAAATGGAGTCGAAAGAACAGCTCGTGCGTGATAAAATCTTGCGCATTCATCACGAGAACAAGGATCTCTCGCATCGTTCCATCGCTAAAACGTTGGGAATCGCGAATTCCACGGTGTCGCGAGTGATTAAGCGGTTCGAGGAACGGTTGACCACCGATCGGAAGCCCAGAAGTGAAGG